AGTCCAGTTAAACCTTGAATGTTTCTGCCAACTCACCAGAAACTCTTTCAAGTACAACCTCCTCTCTTAATGCTTTTCCCTTGACGCAAATCTTCTTTTTCATCTTGCCCGAGAACTTCTTCCCTCTAGACGCCATTTTGAACAGGTTTGTTTTGCAAGAGATTCACGCGAGGAGTTCGCGAAGAGCGCGCTATGCAGAATTTCCTCATATGGGCAAAAATTAGAAGAGTGATTTTCATTGGTCGGGAATAATCGGCAGCATAGTTTAAAACAGATAAGGGAAGTTAAACGCTTCAAGGTGATATGCTTCTGCTTTCACACAGTGCGACGCCCCTCCCCTCTCCCCCCTTGAAAAATCCTAGCTTCGCCCCTGCACAAGAGGAGCAAATCTCATGCAAATGGTTACTGGTACTATACTGTCACTTACACTTCTTTTAAGAAGTGTTGTTACAAATACAAATCCAACTTATTACGGCAAAATAATGCAAATTTTGTACAACATCATGGCGAAAACAACTGCCACAAACACGTCTAAGTTTATGAACACATCACTGTCAGTTGACTAGAATTAAGTGTTAGTTGTCAGAGCTTAAGTGGTCTGAATAATCAAATTTTCTTCGCTGAATTTGTGAAAATGACATAGTAGCTGGCTGGAAATTGTAACATCTTACATTTTTAAGCAACAATATCGGCTGAAAATGACCGGAGCCCGTATTTTTCAACCGCACACAAACAGTTTGACAGGCAAACTGGAAAAGTTGACAACATGCACACTAGTGATCCAAAAACATCTTTCACGTCTCTGGATTAAGTCTGTATATTAAATCAGGTTTGTATTGTTTCCATGGGTGGACTTTTTTGGGCACTGCGATTTTCTGAGATGTAGAGTACCCTGGACAAAACTCTCCTATTTTCTTATTTGAGAAAAAAGAGGACTTTTTCCGTGTTTACATAATCTCATCTATGAGTCTCATCTAATAAGAGGGGGCTAGAAAAATACAAGACAGTTATCCCCCCCAAGTGTTTAGATGAGGCAATGTTAACACAGAAACATGTCCTCTACTGCTTTATAAAATATTTCCAAAAATTCCTGTTCACATACTCTCATCTAAACGGTTTTAAACTATATTGAATTCCACACTACAAAGCGTTCTCACGTGACGTCATCAAAACTCAACAGCATTTTAAACTCCACATACTGTACATTGTATGACAGACAGTCAAGAAAATTTGGGTCAAGAAGGTAGGTAAAAAGAGTAATTAAATGTAGCAAAAATTAAAGTGCTTATAATGTCAAAAATGTTTTTTGCTCATCTAATTCTACATTTCACCTAATGAACTTCTGCGAAAAAATTTTTCGATTTGAATAAAACGCAATTTTTTACGAATTTTTACAAAGTTCAAAATTCTATTTTCTTGCGGTTGACCCCTGCCGCTGAACACAAGAGTAACGTGCTCAAAATGGCCACGTGACTGATGCCTGTGACGTAGGTTCAGGAACCTACGATGAAGACTGATGTTGTTTTTTTGTATCATTAACGTTGTTACAAAGAGCGGCAACGTACCTTTCCAGCATTTTCAACTAAATGTAGACAACTCTGAAGCAAAATTTCCACTTGTTTTCAAGTCAGATAAGTCACGACCCAAATCAAGTGTTCCTGAACCTACGTCACGACTCACTTCAAACCGAGGAAGAATGGTGCGAATGGTGGACCAAAATGGCGGCAAATTTGAGCGCCTTTAAAACGTTATAAAAAAATTGCGTTTTATCCAAATCAAAAAATTTTGTCGCAGAAGTTCATTAGGTGAAATGTAGAACTAGATGAGCGAAATTTTTTTTTTGAAATTATGGGCACTTTAAAGCTTCAGTTCCATCATTACTTTTCTTACCTAACTGATTTTTTTACAACTGAGCATCAAGAATGGAAACTTGAAATGCAGCTCTACACCTGAATATCACAAGGGAAGGAATAACAAACCAAAAATTAGCTTTATAATTCAACTACATTGTATGACCTCACTTGGCCATATCAGATTGAATTTTCTCCGGTTTACTCCCTGTTGTACTAAACACAGAGGAAACTTCATAATTTTCTTACAGATCAGCTGACAGTAAAATTGAATTTAAAACCAATTCGATTCCAAACAAAAAGATGTTAGAGATCACTATTCTCAAGATCCATTCCATGCATGCTGACAGGCCAAGGGCCAAGACAAAATGTCTCCTCTTGTACAATTTAGAAGACCAGTCTTTGTTGGACAGATCAAGAAACTCAGGAAGAGAATTTGTTGGGTGAAACCAACTCCTTTGTAGGTCAGTTCTTACACCCGTCTCTTGTACAAAGTTCAAGATCCATTCCACGCATGCAGACAGTCCAAGGGCCAAAACAAATTTCTTTTCTTCTACAATTTGGAAGATCAGTCTTTGTTTCACCGATCAAGAAACTTAGGAAGAGAATTTGTTGGGTGGAACCAACTCCTTTGTAGGTCAGTTCTTACACCCGTCTCTTGTACAAAGTTCAAGATCCATTCCACGCATGCAGACAGTCCAAAGGCCAAAACAAATTTCTTCTCTTCTACAGTTTGGAAGACCAATCTTTGTTTCACAAATCAAGAAACTCAGGAAAGGAATTTGTTGGGTGGAACCAAATCCTGTGCAGGTCAGTTCTTACACCCATCTCTTGTACAAGGTTCAAGATCCATTCCACGCATGCAGACAGTCCAAGGGCCTAAACAAATTTCTCTTGTACAATTAGGAAGAAGGACCAGTGTTTGCTTCACAGGTCAAGAAACACAGGGAGTTAGAGTGATAGCAGTAACTTCTTTGTCAGATAGGTGGTGAATTATTTTTCTTTGGAAGTTGAATCCAGACATTGAATTGCTAAAAAGTTGTGGTCACAAATGAATTTGTTACGGTCCATTCTTTTAGCCTGAAGGTATTTTAGTGCAAACTTGGTAAGGATAGTTATGATCACAACAACTAAGGGTAGCAAACTGTGTGACCTACAGATACTGTTCTGTGAATTTCTTACTTATCTTTTATATATTCCCCTGACGTTGTTGCTGCGTATCCAGTATATTAGCTCATACAGGGTGGGAGTCTGTTAAACAGCTCAGTCTCCTGTGGAAGCAGAAACCAAGTAAGTAGCTGATCATCATTTATGGACTGGTGACAAGGGTGGAAGTTGGATGACTGGAGAATTCAAGGGAGAGGGTTCATAGGCAATAAATGTTACTACAGCAACAGGCTTAAGGGATCTACATGACCATCCTGCAAGCAGAGCCTCTTTTCTTATTTTTTGAGTGGAGAGGAGACACAAAACATAAGTACCATAAGAAAAGGCTCTGATTGCAGGGTGCTACATGACCTGCACTTTAATAAAACCTATGTGCTTTTTTGTGAGGATGATACCAACGAAATGTGTGTTCATATACTATATGCTCATCTGTTACTTCAGCTACACTTTTTTAACGTCCTATTCAGTTTTAATTTTGTTGCTGACTGAACGGTCCGTATTAGAGAAGTGTTCGTATTGGAGAGGTCACTATGATGACATCACTTTCAAGTCTCCAAAGATAGTTTAGAGAGTTTAGTAACTAAAATCAGGCCCAAAAATGAGTGTCTTGTGCATTTCGGAATCTAAATTGATTAACTTTGTTGTACTTATCAGATACATGTTGTTTTAAATTGTTACAGTTGTATAGAACTGCACTGTATGCAGAATACTGAGTTGGCTATTGCCACAGTATTTTGAAAGTAATGTAATAATGTAACATTTTGACATGTTCTGGTATTGGCATCACTGTGTTACTGCCAAAAGGAAATGGTACATTTCCGCAAATTATTGACACCTTGTCCCCTGAGTGTCCATAACAAAGAGGTTAAATTTGTGTGAATTTGCTCCCTGGGGCCAAGATTTATCGCCCATTTTCCGTTTTAGAGAGGGTCCGAATTATAGAGGATTTTTTTAGAGGAAATGTATGAGAATTTTGCCTGTAAAAATCATAGGAAACTGTCCGTATTAGAGAAGAGAATTAGAGAGTTGTCCATATTAGAGGGGTGTCCGTATGGAGAGGTGCGACTCTACAACACGAAGGTCTCTATGGGGTCAACCGTTAGCCGCAAAAACAGGCAAAAATGTAGCCATTAGGCATAGAAACTGGAAAAAACTAACTGTTAACGGTAAAAATGTTAATGATAAAATATATATGCCATGAAATCTAGGTGGTTTGCCCATACCACGTCACGCTTCGATCACGCTTTCTGAACTCAGGTAGAAGGGCAGTGAATTTTGCATTCAAAGGAGGCCTTTGTTGTAGCCAGGTAACTTGGTTAGCCAGGCAGCCCCTTTACATGTTAACAAGTTCTTATAAAGAGTAGCTTCAAAAAAGACCGGAAGGCAGGGATGAGGGACATTCACCAGACTTGAAGCTTTCTTAAATTTTGGGACAAAATGTATTACATTTAGGACCAAAAGTTATTACACTTAGGACCTTTATAACATTTAGGGCCAAATTGTATTACATTTAGGACCTTTATTACATTTAGGGCCAAATTGTATTACATTTAAGACCTTTATTACATTTAGGGCTAAATTTATTACATTTAGGACCCTTATTACATTTAGGGACATTTATTACATTTGAGACCCAACATCTCATCATGAGATATAAATAAATATTAAAAAGTCAATGTTTTGGTCTTCATAGGTTTTTCTTCTTTTTTTTTTTTATTTTTTATTTTTGAGGCTAAAAACTGCCATGTTTTGAGTACTGGTAGTTTAGGTTGTCAGCTGTGAGATGGCAGTCTGTTGGTGATCTTGCACACCTGTGGTTTCTATTTTCTGGATGACTGCTGTAAGTTTGTGGCCAACAATGTTTCTTGGCTTGGTTCATTAATATTGCATGGAGTACATTGAAGTAATTGATCAACTACATTCATTCCGTAGTACGATCTTGGTCTGAGGTAAAGAAGCAAGTCAGGAGGGGTTTTTCAGTGTTTGAGTTGCCAAACAATGCATCGGAAAGAGGACCATGGTTTAGTGCAACATAGTAGAAAGTAACAGAGAGATCTAGTTGAAAGAGACTATTTAAAATAATGACTGTTGAGAGAAAGCTGTGATAGAAAAAGGTCCTTGAAAGCATTGCCTCACTACAAAAAAAAAACAAAAAACAGGTGATAAATTCTTTCAAACAACACAAACACTGGAAACCCTCAGACACTGAAAGCAGTTTGCACTGTGGATTAAGCATTGAGCAGAGTCCCAGTCTACTCTGGGGCTTGTAAGTTGAGGAGGTTCAGCAATGTGATTTCTGAAATCATCATTTCCCATAGCTCATTTGTGTTAAGTTAGTTTTTGGTAACAATTTCTGCCAGTCTCACCCACATACCAAGCTTAGCAGTCAACACATTTAAACCAGATGAAGACTGCTCTCTGCCTGTTGTTAGGTTTGTCCCTGTCTTGCATGGATACAGTACAGCTGTAGGATACCCACTGAGGTCTACAATAGTGCCCTGAATGCACAACAGGGTATAGATGGCATAGCAAATGGTGTAGGTCAGTGGTATTTATTTTTGTCTAATAAATGTGTAGTTCTTGTGGAAATTACACTCAAGGTACCATATGTATGTTTTTGTCAGACAAAACCCAGCTCTGGGACCTGAAATTGGACAACTTAAAGCTATTTAAGAAAATTGGAAAGGGGATCACGGCAGCTTCAGACAACTTTGATGATCATCTTAACCTGCTAGAATTCCTTTGTATAACTGTGATTGACTTCACACAAGACTTCTTACAACACACCAAATTCTTGGAATGGTAGAAGTGTAAAAGTGGTTTGAACATGCTCATAGAGGCCACATGTCAATTTGAAATGTGTTTGTCTAAGTCTCGACTGAGATATTACCATGATAAAAGTGTAAAATTTAATTGGCCTTCAGTTCAGGCCACAATATAAGATGCACAAGACCAACAAATCTCTACCAAAGGTTTAAGTGAAACCATTCTTTTTCTTGAGCTCAATAACCCCTCAAACAGTCTCAATTCTGCTTATACAGTAGTAGTATCTCAATGACTTAAGTTGGGAGCAGCAAGAAAAGGAAGGGGGAATAGCAGAAAGGTATAGAGGGGGGAGCAAATAAAAAAGTTAGCATATTTTAAAAGAGCTCTTTCTGGGACACTAGATTCTGGTACATGTGTATATCCTCTATTTGCTCTTGAAAACTGCAGACAGTATTTGTCAACACTCAAGTGCTATTGACCTAGATGAGATATGTGATATGGCAGCAGTCAGAGACTTGTCATTGAATCACTATCAGCAGTGTCAAATCTGTTGTAAACAACATCCTCAAAGATTTCCCTCAAGTCAGTCTTCTTGATTGGAACAGGTAGCCATGAAACATAGACCTGTTAACTTTGCTCAATTAGTTTTGCTGTTTAACTTTTCAACTGAACTTAATCAATTTTATTTCAGTCAATCCAAACTATATGATTGTGCATGTATCTATTAAGGTTACTGTAGACCTTCAGGGGTACATTGTACCTTCCAAAAAATGCTTTCTTTACAGGCTGCTTTAAAGAAAACCATGGTAAACTATATACACTGTATCACTGTAAAGCTAATAAACTGTAGAATCCCAACATAACAATATAGTTTGCTATTTTTGTTTTGATAGGCACGCACAAGCCTTTAAACAACAAAATGACCTCACTTGCTATACTGAATTACCAGCCTTTGTGTTCCTGCAGACATCCAAACTGACTGGACATTATCAATCAGGAGATGAAGGGCTTGTGAGGCTTTTTCGATATTTCTATTAGTTGCTTAGGAAATCCCTTTTAAAGTTGGACAATGGAAAATTTTCAGACTACTGTTACTCAATGGGACGTCACAGGAAAAATATTTTGATTTTCACAAAAGCCTCACAAACTTTGGTGCACTAACATCTGAAAAAGATTTTGGCCAAGTTTTGTTAAAATCCAATAAATCTACATACCCTATTAATTCATTTGAATAGAGATAATTCATGCAAAAATAAACCTTGAGTTTTTGGCCCCCAGAGAAATTCACAGTTTTTGCACCTCACTGAAGCAGTTGTAAACATGGCCATGCCACCAACCAATGAAATGTAGCTTTGAACTGTACAACACTGCAATCAATCCCCAACCGGAAATGATCCCCAAATTGGCATGGAGTTTGTTCCTCGGGTCGAGGTTTCAATTTTTAACCTAAACAGAAACAAGCCATAAGCGACTATATTCTATATAGATTTATATAATAACCCAAGTTATTCTCGCATTTTGATTGGTTCTCACCTATGATCTATTAGAGGACAGACACACAATTGACGCCATCATTTCAAAGTTTTTCCCTCTGTGTTTTAAAATGGCAGAAAGTTGTACAAAAAAGTCTTGTCAAAGCATTGAACAGGTATGAGAAGCAGGAAGAAGAAAGATAAAGCCGTTTCTCTTTTAGACTAGTGAGACAATCTCAGATAGTGCAGAGTGCAATTGATAGCTCTGGTACAGTAGCTCCATAAGTACTTGCCCCTGCTCGGTTCACTTCCAGTTTGTGTCTACCTTGGTAGTCTGCTATGGCTTCTCCCCTTTCCAGTGTGTATGTTTTGAGGTTGTATTTTCATTCAAGGTCCAAAAATTACACACAAATTAATTACTACTGGTGTTTTATGTTGATTTTCATTCATTTTAAATTCAATAATATGCTAAAGCAGCAAACGTGACAATTTAGTTCTTCACGCCATCTTTGTAACTTGATACTTTTGTTTTCCTTGCAAAGGCATGTAATATGAAACCCTTGTTTTCTCCAAAACATACGTAAGAAGTCCTTGTTTTTAGGAGATAAATGAAAGAAAGTTAAATATCTGATGTAGTGATGAAGAAATGGAACAGAAACAATGTTTTACTAAAAATGCAAATTTTTATCGATGAACAAGGACTAATTTAATTATCAGATAGTCACGAAATACCACTTT